TTGTCTCATGGGATCAACACCATTTTAGCCTACTTTCAATGGCATTGTAGATAAAATAATAGGTTTGGTCCAAGGATGGATGATTTTTGTTTTAGCCACAAGCTAAATGTTGGGGTTTAGTTTCTATCAGGGTTTATGTTCAGAAATGAGATCGAAAATGGACTGCAGAGTCATTCAGTTACTTTGTAAATTACTCATATGTTTAAGAATTTGGATATTGATAGTTATGTTTCTATATTGCCTTGGGCTATGGAAGAAGTTGAAAAGAATTTTGTGACAAGGAGATGCATGCTTTCTGGAGATGGGGAGGTTGAACCAAATGTGCATCAAGTCTTACAGTTGGCACTTGAAATTTCTAAAGAGAATGTTATTTCTCTCATTAGTCACAAGTTGCCCATACTGGGATGGGAAGCAAGTTCTTGATATTTTTACTATTTTGGTCATATCTGGTTAATTAATAAGCTTGCCTATTTATTTCATGTTTTTACAGGCAAGAAAAGATTTATTACACCTTTGGTCCATATTGTTGAGGCAAAAAGTTGATTCCACCTGTTGCTGTGTGGAGTACATTGAGAAGCATTTGGAGTTATTTGACTTTCTTGTGGTTTGGTAATGTTATGAATGTCATTTTCACATTTATCTATGTCCATGCCCCTTTCTTTTCAACTAGAAATCTCTATAATTTGTTGTCTATTACATGCTTATCGAATATGCATAAAGCTGGTTTAATGTGACTCTTTCTCTCTCCTTCCTATTTGTTGTGTTCAGAGTGTGTTGTTTATTTCTATAGGATGGCATTGACCTGTATGCATACTGAAATAACATGGACAAAGTCATGTGTGCTATTGAATCACTAAGGTTAGGTGTGTAATTTCTATTTTTTGCAAGCAGCTATTATAACAAGGAAATTGCTTTAAATTGTGGAAATATGTTGAGGGAGTGCGTCAAATTTCCAACACTTGCACAGTAAGACATTCGAGCTTTATGTCCATTTCGTTCATATGACTGAAGTACTTAATGATGTTGCTAAAGTGATGCTATGGTTGAAAACATTGTCATTGCTTCTTCCTCAATGATGATTGTATAAGATTTCAGAAGAGGAAATATAATTCTTTCAGTACATAAGTTCTCTAAATTTTTTATTATATTCTATATCATCTAATTTGTGGCAAGCTTTGCGTGTAACCTTGATTGGAATCATCATCCTCATTTGTATGCTCTTTTCCAAATATGGTTTTACGTGTTAGCGTCTAATAAGGTTTATACACTAGGCTTTCATGAGGTGAGGTGGTGAATAAGCAGAACATGCTGCAGCATGAAATATGTTGCTTTCAGCTCAGCATTCAGATACAATTCCGGTTTTTAGTAGACTGATTAATCACCACTTCAATATCTTGTGATGTTGTTTACTACAAAATTAGGTTTGTGAGGATAAACTTCTTTTTAATATTCTGGCCCGCTTTAAAAGATCAAGTGTAAAACATATTATGAAGGTTTTGAGTAAAACTTGGATGCTGGGTAATTCAGGAACTGGTGAAGTTTAGAGATTGGTAATGATCATTACCTATTTTAGAAGTGCCAATTGCTGCTTTTATTAGATGTCAAAAGCTATAACCAGTTGGTGTCTATGAACTAGTCCAAGTAAATCAAAGGAGGAAAAATTGGCTGCTAGGGCACTTTCTTTGTTTTAAATTTAATGTTTGGTGCAAAATTTCTTTATTGAAAATCAAGTTTCACTTTTTCACTAGTTAAATTTTGTAGTGATTTTTCAGATACATATTAAAGTCTGCTAGCTTTGTATTATTCTTCAAATTTGTGGAGTTGCCCAACTTTGACATTGCTTCTGATGCATTTTCAACATTTAAGGTTAGATGTATTAGTTTTTAAGTCTTACTGGTACTTTAGATTAAGTACATGCATTTTCAGGGTCCATGCTTTCTTCCTCTTATGCGTCTTTGATTGAATTTCCTCAGGATCTGCTTACAAAACATGGAACTGTTATCTGAATAATGACTGCTCATTACGATGAGGTACATTTACATACTGTTTAATCTCTTCTTACGTGACTGAAATGATCTAGGCTGAGAACAATTTTGCTTTAGGGCTTTATGTTGATTGAATGCTTCAATCTAGAAGACCTGCTGAACTAAAAACTTTCTTCAAGAATGTTTTATATTGTGTGTACCCTTTTGGTAAGGGACATCAAGTGCAACTACCCCTGATGAATCTGCATGGTGCAGAGCTCTGAAAATATCTTTCTTCATAAGTTTGTTGAGATATCCATTTTCCATTTTCTCTCTTTTAGCTTATCTAATGAGATAATGTTGTTCCGGTTCTTTGATCTATATGAAAAACTCTTGACGTCTTCTAATTACGTGACAAGATGGCAATCTTTAAAGGTTGGTTTTGGCACTTTCTCTCTTTTCCATCCTGTTTGGATCTGTAGATATGTTGATTGGTAAGATGTGTTAATGCTGCAATGTTTTTGGTTTAGCTTCTGTCACAATTTCTTTTGGAGACTCCAAATTCCCATATAATGAAGTGCTATATTTCAGAAGTTCGGTATTTGAAAGTTATGATGACATTGCTGGAGGTACTTCTTATTAACTGTACTTTTTTCTCCTTTATGTTTCTTTTGGCGTTAATTGGATTGAATCTCCATTGGCAGTCCGGATGTCTTATTGAAATGAGTTCTGATTTACACTCAACCATCATACACTCTTGCATCTTCGACCGTCCATTATTGGGCCTGAAGAGACATGGAAAATGAGTGATGCAAGAGTGAAAGCCACGAGTGCAGAATGGCATTTTTGTTTTATGGAAACTGCTTCAACTTATTGATATACTTTTGGGTATTCAACTTGGAATAGATTGGACCAAGTGAAATCATATGAGCTCTCTGTTTTTACTTTTATGTCTAATAAGATTATCCCAGTCTGCTTCCTTGGTACATTAAATATCTTAACCTGTAGCTATCGAGAAGAACTTGTTTGAAATTGTCTGTTATATGATTTGACTTTTTATTTTCTGCTCTTTTTGTGTCAAAGCAGGATTCAAGTAAAGACATCCAGATTTCTGCTTTCCACATTTTCAAGGTGGTTTTTCCCTCTCCTTCTCTCTCACTCACAAATAAACACATCGTTTTTGCTAGTCCCAGCACAGGCCTATCCACAGTCCACAGGCAAGCACATGTTCTGTCATGGGTTTTAAGAATACATCTTTGTAAAAAAGCCTCAGGGCAATGTTCTAAGTTAATAATTAGACAAGAAATGATGACTGATGGTAGTCATGAGTTGGAAGCTCGCCTATGAAAGTTCCCAATGTCTCTATCTCTTTCTCCTGCTTCAATGAACCCTAAAATATGTCATACTAAAATGTCATGAGACGTCCTGTCCAAAAGATCTTCATATATTAATGTTCAAGATCACCCATCGAGACTGAAATTTAGCCTGGGGAACATTATACATTGGAGTATTTCTTCTGCTGCATTTCCAAAGCCAGTTCGCTCTCTCTGTCTTAAAAAATTACTTGGGACTGTTGGATGCAAATTACTTAAAAAAATTACTTGGGACTGTTGGATGCAAATTACTTAAATGATATCACCTAGATAACAGGGAAAGAAAGCTTACTTCAGATATTGCAAGAATTGTTCTAATCTATTGTTTTCCTTCCTTTGCTATTCACATGAAGGTTTTTGTTGCTAATCCTAACAAGCCAAGAGAAGTAAAGATTATTCTGGCAAAAAACCATGAAAAATTGCTGGATTTGCTTCAAAATCTCTCAGGAAAAGGTACTTAAATCTTTTGGCCATACATTTTCTGAAAAATTGGCACCAGATATATAGTTGGGTTTTTTCCATTTGAAACCTTTTTCTTAGTTGTCCTTGTGCTTGTCTTTTAAGAAATAATTGTCATCGCATGTGCCGAAGATGGGCCATTTGAAGAGGAAAAGGAACTAATTATCAAGGAAATCGAAAGATTATCCCGGTTGCCAATTCTTAAATGCTAGTTTCCTTCGCATGCTGTCTACTTCTATTAAATGCTAATTTCTGAATGATGATTTTCCATGGTGTGAGAACCGTCGGCCAAGGAAAGAAATTTACATCGAAGGATTATCAGAGCTCTGGTACAAGACAATATATAAGAAACAGTGAGCCCTTCCTAATTTCTTGTTAGAATTGTCAATGAAGTATGGTGTTGTTGTATAAGGTGTGAAACTAGATTTGATTTCAGGAGTCGTCGACTTTGATTGTATGAGTTATCTGTGGCTCATTGTGCTTTTGTTATATCATGCAACTGTTGTATGGCCACCTGGATCAGGGTGTACACTATAATTGAAGCATTTTTTCCCGTAAAATAAAGGTTTGGTTAGTAAGTTGTTTAGCTTCTTTTTCTTTGTCATGGAATCTTTTGAACAATTAATTTTTCGGTGGACAGACATTAACATGGTGGAATTACTTTAGCTTCTTTTTCTTTGTCATGGAATCTTTTGAACAATTAATTTTTCTGTGAATAGACATTAAACATGTGGAATTTGCTTGCTGGCAATGTTGGTAGCTTCTCTTTAACATATTTAAAGCAAGCCTGCAATAAGAAAAAAAACTTTTCAGCCTACCCATAACACCAAAACACTACAACCAATAGTCAATCCACGAATCCAGAAGCCACAGACTTAGAATTGTCTCGACCATAACAACAAACACAGAAAAGTCAATCCTCGAGCTCGGGAAGCCACGGCTTTGAAGCATAAGCCTGGGCCATAACACAAACACGATCCTGTCCTTTATTGTTTCCTTGTTTACAGGGTGGAACAATTGACCATGAACTGAACCAAGTTCGAATGACGATAAGAATGACAGTGTTGTATCTACATTTTTAAATGGAAATGGTTGGAAATGTTATGAGTTTGATGGCATGTTTATAGACATAAACAGATTTGGGGAATATAATTTAGTTACTAGATTTGCACCTTTGTTGTAACGAATTCTCTGATTCAGAGGCTGTTGAAATTTTCTTTCAATTTCTCGCTTCATTTCAACACTAAATTCAACTCCAGAATGGAAACACCTTTTTATTCCTTAATTAACCAAAGCTAAACGTTCAAAAACTTCAATAATATAATTTGCAGATGAGATAAGCCATAAAGCAGTTCAAATTCGACTGAATCGGACAAGCATTAGGATTTTTCTTAAGAAAAAAGATGAAACCCTAGAAAGGTAAGAGAGAAAAAGATGAGAACTTTGGGTTGAGGCGTTTAGTTGATGTCGGAGTCATCGAAATCGTCTTCGAAGTTGTTGAAGAAATCGGCGTCGGCGAGCTTGTTGTCGATGGAGATGCCGCCTTCGCCGAACATCTCGAGTGGGTCAACGTCGTCGACTTCCATGGCTGAGCCTTGATCATCTGGGTCCACCATGAATTCCATCGGCGTTGGCCTCATCTTCCTCTTCAGCTTCTAGGGATTTCTTTTTAAGTTTGCGTGAATTTAACGCTGAGCTTATATAGAGAAATGTTTTCTATGAACGGTGTCGCTTCAGATGCTTAAAATTTTAAACCAAAATCCTTTCACGGAACGCAGCGTTTTCCAATTTAATCGGGAAAACTTTCTATTCCTGCAACGACGTCGTGAGATTCTTGGTTATTTTATCATCAACGGTTTTTCAATGGACAAGAAAATAAGAACGTGGCAAAGTGGTAGAGATCGAGAAATATGGGGAGCAGAGAAGCGGAAATGGAAATGGCAGCAGCTCAACCATGCCCTTGTTCTTCCTTCATCTTCTTCACCCATAAATCCCACCTCCATAATTTCATTCATTTGCCACTTTGCCCTCTCTCTTACTCTCATTTACGCCGTCGTTTCAGCTCATGTGCAGCCAGAGATAGCAGCAGCAGCAGTAGAAGGAGAAGAAGCAAGTGGGACCCTAATGCTGAGAATATTCGTGCCAAAGGCTTCAGCTTCAACACCCAAAACGATGGCGACGACGAAGAAAGAGATGATTATTATGAAGAAATGGCAAATTCCGGGATTTTGGACGAAGCAATTGATAGCATTTGGATTTTGAAGGTACAATCTTTTCTTTCCTTTCCCTTTTTTTTTTTTTTTAAAATTTGGATACATTCTTAAAGGTAGAATTTTGAATACCAAATGGGATTGATGTAAATGAATTTCATGCATTAAAATGGATTAAATTTGATGCATTTCTTTTTATAAATGAATTAGCTTCATACATCAATAATTTTGCAAAAACTATGGGTCCTTTTGAACAACTTAATTCTTGGATTTATTCGGTTAGTTTAATAGGATTTGCTTCCTCTTGAACAAGTAGTAAAATGAAGAACTTTGATTTGAAATCAACTTTATTCTTGGATCTATTGGGTAGTTTAATAGGATTTGCTTCTGTTGCAAATTTTAAAATTTAAGGGACTTGCCTCTTGCTTCAAATCTTAGTTGCAGGCTCACATATGCAGCTGTAAATTATGTGATACTAAGAATCTTTTGCATGGGACTGACACTCCATAGGAATATAGGAATCCCATCTCAAGACTCCTAATATCCGGCAATTATTCCGCTGACAATGTTGGGAAATCTTTTATATTGTCCTTCGCAATGAGGGGTTTGATTGGCAGCTCATGCAAGTTAACTAGTTTTAGTACCAGAAAAACTGCATGACAGCTTTAGTTGAGTTTACATGGGCATCAACAAACTGTTTGAACTCTTTGCAGATCACATATTTGCTGATTATGGTGAGAAATAGCGTTAGCTTCCACAGACCACAACACAGGATTTTTCACTTTGGACGTACCATTCGGCATTTGCCTCTTTCATAACCATCATTCAAACCATAGGCATCTCCTTATGCCTTAGTACTGAATTTTGCTCTATATAGGAATGTTGTTTTAAATGAACTGTTGCTAAATAATTGAATTTTCTCGATTGGATCATGTCCTACAGTTTGTTCCCCTCAATGTTATTTTATCAAATGTTAATTTCTTTTTTTTTCCCATAAAAAATGCATTCTGTTGATCCCAATACTTTTGCAATTGGTCAATGCAGGTTTTCAAATCCTTTGGTTGGACGCTACCAGTCATTTTACTTTCCTTCTTGTTTGCCACTGGCCCAAAAGCTTTCCTCATGGCATTAGCACTTCCACTTGGGCAGTCAGCAATAACTTTGGCACTTGAAAGGTTTTTGGGAAGGTCACAAAACAAGCAGAAGCGTAAGGTCAGGGTAAGAAAAAAACCAAAAAATACATCTCGGCGCACTGTAAAAAATGTTAAAATGGAGGAAGAGGTACAAGAAGGCCAAAAAAGCAGAAAGGGAAGAAGGGATTATCAATCATGGATAGTTAGTGATGATGGTTCTCCCAATGAGGGTGGCAATGCTGCAACCAACTTTGGTGGATGGGATGAGCTAGATGGAAAGGGATCAATGAAAATGCCAACAATGGAAAATGGCTCAAAAAGGACATCAAAGGAGGAGGGCAAGTTGAGTATGAAAGAAAGTAACAATGATGCACCTTTGCTGTTGAGATTGTTGATTGCTGTTTTCCCATTTTTAGGTTCTTGGACTAAGATGTTTTGGTGATCCCATCTAGCAAGCTTAAGGTTCGTGCATGGCATCTTTTCTTTCTTGTCTTTAGCCCAAAAGGATTGCTTGTTCTGGTTCATGCTTGACTATTTTATAGCTCATGCTTGAGGCCAGAATCATAGATCAACAATCATAAACAAAATCATTTTTTAACGCATTTTAATATATCATTATACGAGTCTAGTTATAAGCATATATACAGCATTTTTTTTTTCTTGCTAAAATTCCCATTGTCTTTGCAATTCTTGTTCTGGTTTAGGGTTGGGATTTGTTTGTATCTTGAAACATTGTCTTGTGTTTTTATTTTTATTAAAATTTTCAGTTTTTTTAATTTGTCATAAATTTTTTTGAATTTTTTTTTTAAATTTGAGATTTTTTTGAATTTTTTAAGTTTTGATATTTTTATAATTTTTAAAAATATTATATATATTTTTTAATTTTTTTAATATTTCAGATTTTTTAAACAATTTTGAAAATTTTTTAGATTTTTTTTTATAAAATTTCTTTTAATATTGACTGATAATTAATAATGTAACATTGATTAGACTTTTTTACGACATCTTATTGACTTTCATATTATGTAAATAAATTGACTAACAATATTAGGGCCTACAATCGCTTGACCTAGTGTGTTTAAAATTTTAAATTTTGATAATCTCGAGTAAAAAATCCCAACATTTATTTATAATAGATTTAATTAAGGATTAAGTTATTTATTTAAGTCTAAATATCCATTCAAGTTTTGAGAGATAAAAAATTGAAGCTCATTAAATAGATTTGGACATAATTTTTAAACTCATTTAAATTTCAAGTTAGGTCTTAAACAAAAAATTTAAAATTTAAGTTTGATTTGTTTAGATTCGAATTTACGTATATATAAAATTTTTATTTATATATATGTAAATTATATATAAATTAATTCGTATATATAAAAAAATTAAAATTAAAAATTATATATTTTTTATTAAATTAAAATTTTATTTTTAATTTTTACATATATAATATTTATTTTTAATTTTTATGTATATGTGAATTAAATATAATTCAACTTAATTTAATTTATACTTAATTTAATCATATTTTTTAAAATTTTTATTATATAAATTAAGGTAAGTGGGTGGGTTAAGGATATATATTTTTAATTTGAGTTGGATTTAAAAAAAAAATTTATTATATAAATTAAGGCTAGTGGAAACACTTCTGTCTACAATCCGAAAGTTCACAATTGTTTGGATCCAACATCTGTTGACATCTTTGTGTGCATCAACCATTGAAACAACTGCAAGAATAAAAAAATCAAACAAACAAATTAACTTTCAAACTCCCAATGTTAAAAAAAAAAAAACTGTCAGAATTTGAACCGGGATCTGTAAATACGGTCCATATAAGCATTGTTGAGTTAATTACTTAAACGTTAGTGTGATTTGTTTTTTATAGTAAACAAAACAACATCGACAAATGTTGTTAGAACTGAATTAACCGAAGTTTTCAATATATGGAAAGATATCAGACTATAGATATTATTATTTACATATTTTAGTTAATTTAATTTGAACATGTTTTTGAAGATAATTTGAGTCTTTTTTTGAAATAAAAAAATGTTAATACTAAGGATGGTAATAAATCGTAAATAAATAAATATCAATTATTATTCAATCCATTTACAGTGGATTCGAATAGTTATAAATAGATAATTAATAGATTTGAATAAGATATTTATTATTCGTGATAGATTCAGAGTGAATATAAATAGTATTCTTTTGATATTCAATACTCGAATCCATTTAAGTTTCAATGAATAATAATGAATATTCGAATTCGGATATGAATTCATTACTTATTTACATATCTAAAATATCTAAAATTATATATTTGTATAAAGTTTTATACTTTAAAAAATAATTTTTATTTATTATTAATTAAGACTGAACTTGAATTTTAAGTTATATTTTTGTTTATTTTATATTTTGATAAAAATTTTAAATAAATAAATATTTTAAAATTTCAAATATTTAAACAAATAGTATTTATTTAAATAGATTCGAATTTAAATAATAATATTAAATTAAACAAATATTTAAACAAATTTAAATATTATAAATATTAAACGAATTCGGATACGAATATTTTAAAAATAATGAATATCCATTTCGTTATCATTCTTAACTAATCCGGGACAAGCTTCTTTTACTTTTATGTTAAGATGGAAACTTATTAGATTGATATTTATTGTTTCTATTACAAAAACTTTTTCTTTTCCTTTTAAACTCAATTATACGAGTTTAGTTGTTATGGATAAATTACCCATTTGGTCTCTTAAATATTATATTAATATCAATTCCACCTTGCTTGAGGCGTAAAGGTGGGTGATGGTGTCGATATGAACTTGTTTGGCACCAAATTTCTCCATAGAAGAGGACGATAGAAGGGAAACTTAGAAAAGGCTATGCCAAAAACATTGAACAAAAATTTTTATCCAAATTGAGAAAGATACTGTATTAAAATTCCTAACAAGGGAGGATTTTAATTTGTCAAAGGTATCATTTGGTTCTAAAACAAAGGAAACTATCATGAAAAGTAAGGCATGATAACTACATCCAAGAATATGGAAAATTGAAAAAAAATTGTCATATAACACAACCTTTTGTACTAAAACCTCATGTTAATTTCACAAGATAATTCATATTGTGCTTAATTTACATCGATGGAGATAAATTTAATTCGCGTCACAAAAATTTGGGATCGAGACAAATAATATAATGGGCAAAATTTATATTATTAGTAATTACTTCATTGGTTACTCCATTTTTTTTTTGAATTACAAGAAATTTTTAAATAAAATAAAATTCATTATACTAGATTCATGCATCGTACATACCATTTGAATGTAGGCATTTGAGATAAGGAATTGAGTTTAAGACGTACGAGTTTGTGCTATATCATGCTTTATTGCTTAATCAACTTGAGTTGATAAGCTGCAAAAATGTTTGAAAAATTGGATGGCTTGTTTAGATGATCTAAGAAGAGGATTAAGGCTGACAGTTGGTTTGCTTTAGTTAAAACTTTCAATAGTACTCGAAGATAGAGGTGTTCATGAGTTGAATTAGACAAATTTTGGGTTAAACTCATAGTTAATATTAATAGTTTATATGTTTGTTTAGGTTCGATTCGATCTGAAATTTTAAATCTCAAATTTTTTTTAAATATAACCCAAATTAAAAAAATAAATCACAAATTCACATATTAAATTTAATTTATATAATAAAAAATAAAAAAAGCAATTAGATTAAGTTTAATGAGATTATACTTAATTTACATATATATAAAAATTAAAAAAATTTATACATGATATGTATCCCAAGTCATGATATTGTTAATTTCTAACAATCGTTGTTAAATGAAGTCATCTTTCGTGATATATGGCATGATATTTTTTTTTTTAACTTTGAGTATCAACCAAAGATCCCTAAAGATTTTTTAAAATATATATTTTTTGGTAATATTTTTATTTATATAATTTAAACAAAAGTAATAAATAACAACTTATATTAATCTTGGGCATTTATGCAACATAAATAATTCTCCTTAAATTTTTAGCCCCATATATATATAATATATCTGCTGTCATGGAATATTTTATATAATATTATTACGTCAATACTTTGGCCTCTATTCTCACTCACTCTCTTTCATTTCATCTCTCCAAATAAAACATGATATTATGTCAATACTTAATTGCCTGCCAATAAGTGCACTGTGAGTTATGAGTTTATAAGTCATAACATCCTTTAACTTTTACTCTTTCATCGATTACTATTTATTAGGGTTTTTTTTTTTTTTGGCTTTTCATAAATTAAACCATCATTAGTTTTATGATGCAAGTTAATTTCCAACTTTATCACTACCTCAAAGAAAGATGGATTTCATTGGGATATGTTTACAAAATTTAATTTGATATACACATGCTAAAAGAGTACACTTGAAATAAATTAATTTATAAGATATATATATATATATATATATAAATTGAACAGATTTGAGTATGCAATTTTATTTATAAATCTAAACTTAAATACTACATGTGTAGTCTTCTCCGTATAACAAAAGAAAAAAAAAATTTATAAAGAAAACCAGGGCATAGTTTTTTTCTGACTTTTTAGTTTCATTGCGATGAGAAAAACCAAGATTTACCCCTTTTAAATATTTAGTTGTTATGGATAAATTACCCATTTCGTTGTCTCATATTGTTCGTTAAAAAAATTAATGTAACTGTGATTAAAAATAATTTCAATGAAAAATTTATGCTAAATGAATCTTATTAGAGTTAACATTTAAATTCAACCGGTAATGTGATGAATTCAATCATACCGCATTAAAAATACGGTTGAATCCAAATGGGCACTAAATCAACATTGATGTTTTAACGCATGCTTTGACGCTTACGTTAATTTTTTTACTACATGAAAAAACAAAGTAAATGAATAAATGAATAGAGTAAAGAGAGAATGCCTTTGGTGAACCTTTATATAAAAAAAAATTAAAAAGAAAAAACCAGCCTGTTTCATCTCTAAAAAAAATAAAAATCTACTCCTCCCCCAAGATTGTCTAATTTGTCATGAACAATGGCAAGAGGATAAATAGGACAACAAAGGAGATTTATAAATTTCTTTTGTGAAACTTATATTCATTAGTAGAAGTTATATTTCATATGCTATTTTTACTTTTACAATAATCATGTCTAAGTTTATCATTTTCCAAAGCAAGATTTTCTAGCTTCTCTATTTGTCTATTAGTAATATTAAATTCTTAAATTCAATAATTAAGATCAATATCCTAACATTTCAAATACAAAAGAAAAAAAAATTGGACTTTCACTTAACTTTGACTTGAAAATCCTCATAATATAATTCTTATATTTATAGGGTCAAGAGAATCAATTTCTTTAATAATGAATATTTATTTATTTTTTAAAATATCTCTAATAAAATCTCAAAATTTTTAATTTTATTTTTAAAAGATTTTAATATTCTTGATATCCTATACAAAATTTTACTCTATTGCAATTAATGTTCTTCATTTAGGTAAACACAAAACACTATTGAAGGGCACAATTAAATCTTTGAAAGAAAATTGGCCCGATTATAGGTTTTACAAAGACACATCACGGGTTGAAAAACCTCAATCTACTAATTTTAACAATTATTTTAAGAACATTACATCATTGGTAAAAACTTTTTATTTTGTAGGTGGCATGAACTACAAACTTTCAAACTCTACTTTCATATAAAAAGAA